AAACCCCAATATACACTACAGAATGTCCGCGAGAGAGTGATATTGATGGCAACTAAAATAAAAAACGTTGCTTTTCTGTCTTCATTTCTTCATGTTTGTTTTGTACCTTTTTACCTGCTCACTTTCTTGCTGACTTCAACGCAGTTCCAATATTTACATAATAATTATTATGTACTTGATTGCAGTACATGCACATGTAGAGAAAAAATCCGACATAGATAGCCGAAATCTCATTGCCATTTGCATTTTTTTCAAAAGAATCTCAATATCTCAGCTTTCATGCGCTCATTTTTTGATTTCAGAATAGATTGATCGTTTCGCTATAAATCAACATGATCTGTCTCGAAAAAATGTCAAAATTTGATTAACTAATGTGGTACAAAAATATACTTTGAATTACTCCCAATTTAGTCCTCTCATTTCTTCATCGATACACACATTCAAATCTTCTATTGACCAAGATCTGTAGAGAGCAAGACAGATGAATATTAGCAGGGTGTGCGTAAATTAAAAGAGCACATATTAAACACCCGTCGACTTCATACAGACGCCCTTCTAGACTTTTCTGAATCTATATGATAATGATCGATAGACTGCAAAGCATTTCTTATTCTCTGGTTTGTGGTTTTCTTGTTTAAGTCAGTCTGTTTCATTGTATTTTGCTTTTTCTTCTTCTATAGCTCAGAGTTTCTAGAAGTGGTCTTGTAGTGATCAACAGAGTTCACTTTGATCTGCAAAAAATGTACATGCGGCTTTTTTTCAAAGCTAAATACAAGTTGAAATAACTCAAAAACTCTGCTTTTGATATGATTTCGAAACTCTCATTAAGACAATATTTCGAGCAAGTTTTGTACCTATAATAGTTTCCTGAAAAGTGATGATATTAAATTACCACCAGTATAATTCTTCTCCAAAATTTATACAGGACATTCACTTAAAATGTTCTAGAACATGAATAGTTAAAGTCAAAAGTTGACTTCTATCGCAATGTGCCTCATATATCTATGTGCCATTTCTCAGTCGTCCATTGGTGAGATTCATAAAAAGTGAATGTGACATGAACAGTATCGACAAAACTCTGCAAACGTTTCTGCTCTTATGGGGTGAAGGTTAACACATTCGAATTTTAGCCGGAGAGTTGATCGTTGACTATCAATCATGCAATTACAAGTCGGATGTGCTAACCATTTACGCCACAAGAACACGAGTGAATAATATCGACAAGCTCTTTGAATAAAAAAGATTGAATAAGAAAAGTTCTTTTTGAAACCTTGAAGCAAACCTTTTTGTGTAGTTCAAATAAGCAGTTTGGATCTGTTTAAAGGAAAGGAGTTATTTCTTAATTTGATTAGTCTATGTCAATATCTCGACAAATTCATCAATATAATTAATTAACAAAAAATTAATGGAAATCGAATGAAACAACAAGCAAAAAGAAATATATCAGTGAAAGAGACACCAAGTCATGCGAACCTTCAATGCAGTCCTATTTCTATTTCGTGTTGCTTCAATAGCATGTCAATGATTATAACAAAAAAACAACGTCACAGATTTAATTAAATTTGTGATAAATCAAAGTCACTATTAGGTAGTACCTAATAGGTACTTTCTGTTGCATTATTAAGTGACTATAAGTATGCCAATTCTTAATATGGCAACTTTTATATTTAAAACTTGACGAATCGTTGCTTTGAGGGTCCAGATCTTGTTGTAGTTGTAGGTGAAAAGGAGATAACTACCCACACCTGAAACCCTTATTCTAAGTCTTTTTCGTCAATGTCTTAATAATGGATCAACTTTCTCAGCATTGAATCCTTTCGATATTTTTATGAATGTAAAAGGATATTCCAAAGGGCGTGGAATATGGGTGTGAACGCGATTGCAGGGTTTTCGTGGTGGTAAGAGAATACTCACGCTTATCCCCATACTCACACCTGCACCCTAATGTATGTTTCGCTTCGAACACGTTGTTGATAAGGATGATCTAGCTTACCAAATCGTTGAAAATAAATCATGTGAATCACATCCGCTATCATCTATTCATTCATTCCTTTTGGGTGTGAGTGGCGAATGTGGTTGTGGATGGTAGGTATGGCTGGCGGTGTCAGTTTTGTCTTCATCCAAGTCCACAAACCCACACTCATATTCGAATGCACACCGCAACCACCCTTACATCAGAACAGCAAGGTCAAAAAAACGACAGACTTGTAGCATAAAGAACTTAAAAAAGGCGATCCAATGGCGTAGCAATAAAAATGGTAGGTTATCAACATGAGTCGTATCAACTGATAATGTTCGTTTGCGAGCAACACTTTTAATAAAAAGAAAGGCAAAACATCAGTTATCACTACTTTCGAAACTGTTGGCATGCATCTCAAGTCTCTTATCTTCGTGCTTGCATTGTATGCTGGTATAGCTGCTGCTGGATTCCGATCGCCTTCACCACCACAATGGCCGTTGGTTTGGATGACAAGTGGAAGTGCTTATAATATTTCTAGTAATCAGACAGCATGTGCACAAGTCTTCTACGATTGGAGACGACCAGCTCAAGTTGTCAATTTAATGAGAAGCGACTCGTATGTATATACGATACTTCACATCGAACGCACCGTTTGGCGACTACAACGTGCAAATCGAACGTGTTGTATTGATCCGCAACATACTGGCATAACACCACCAAGACCAGGTAAGAATATCAAAGTAGAAAATAGAATGAAGAGCTTACGCTGTTCTTTCGTTAGAAGAGCCTGTAAATAGAAGTAAAAATACCATTCAAGGCTGAGATTCAAATAGGTTCTAACGCAAGTAGAAGTTGCCAATACGGAAAACGTCTGGCATGCGACTGCACTGAGATGACCAGAATCTATTTTCAGTCCTATCGTTCATTGCAAAAATCTTGGCGGACTACATAATAGTTGGAAGAGGATCATTAAATCTATGACTTCTGCTTAGTGATTTGAGTTTCCCTACTGGGAATGGAACGTATTTGATGCGCTTGAATCAATGGAAAGAATATTCTAAAGAAGAATTTTAGAAAACGGAACTACGAGTAGACAAGTTAGGAGTATTTTGATGCTATTCACAGCGAAATGAGCCAGCAGAGATAGCTGTGAATTCGCGGAGTATCTCGTGATCATCGTACTTGACTATTTCGATATCTGTCCGAGTCGTCATCATTAAACTATATGGCATATTTGGAAAGGCGAGGCAAGTTTGATAGCTACAAGGTATGGAGTATGCATGAGAAGAAAAAGTTATATAGCTTCAAGCATTAAAATCGATGAGGTTGACTCTGCAATCGTTAGTTACGATACTGTTGATTTTCTCTAATGATTGATCTGCTTGTAATTCGGCTTATAGTACTAAAGTGACTATTACCGTTTTTCTTTTACTACGTAGATTGGTTACAAAGTGGTAATGAAACTACTTACGATGGGATTATTTCGGTCATGGAACATGCATGTCATTCATGGACAAAATCAATACCGGATTTTGCGGCATTCTCATGGTTAACGTCAGTTGCGACTGGTGTACCCTGTCGTCTTGGATGGTTAAATGCTGTGCATTTCGATTTTTCATTCTACTCCGATAACCCGGATCTGTTACCAAAAGGGATTTTTGATATACCCGATTATTGTCCACGTGAAATAACAGACCCAAATTGTGATGTCATGCATTTCTAAAGATTATATTCAAACTTCAACAAAGACAGACCTAGATAGAATCGAGAGATAAAACGTATGGGTAAGATTTTGAAAATGATCAATCGATCAACTCAGAATCTAGCTGTTTCTTCCTGCGTAGTGCGCGTGCGCGATGAAAAGAGGCTCGTGCTATTAACAATATATGCCAGTGAACTAATGATACAACTCAGCATTGTTTGTCATTTGAAAGATGAGACTCATTACTGGTCTTCTCAGCTGTGTAGATGTCTACGAAGTTCTTCGCTGGAGCACACTACTGAATCAATTTTCAAAAATAAGTTGAACAAAAATAATCGTGACACATCTAGAATCTTTCAACGAGTGCTCCATCTGCCATTTCGAATGTCTTAGAATGAACCTGCTCGAACAAACCTATTAGAAAGAATGAGTCAAGATATCTTGAGTGGTAATAACACAACCGTAGGCTTCTGTAACTATGCTACTAATGCTTGAAAAGAAAATGCATCACCTTCTGAATTCAACTACATGGCACAGCGAAGACAAGATGAAAACAGTTATCAAACACAGCAGAAAGGGTTGCGATTTCATGTTATTCTATTGCTCTTGTTATTCCTGATAACTTGAGTCGTCATCACTTCTTATCAATGAAAACCGAGCAATCAAGCATAGTTCCTACAACGGTAGAAAGTTTAAGTAAACTGGATGACAATCTGAATTCATTTGATACGACTTCAATAATCTCTTATTTGCTAATCTGCGTTTGTCTGCCTGTTCTTTGTGGTTTTCCATTGGTCGTTCTGATTTTATTCTTTCAGATGTTTTGCCCCTCAATTTCTTGTCAATTCTTTTCATTTTATTAGTGTAAAGGCTTTCCGGATGTGAGTATAGTTGTACATCAAAAGAAGACTTACACCCACACCACATGTAGATGGAGGAGATGTGAACCATAATCAATATTATTAATAATAGCATCAATAATCTCATCGGTTTCAATATTTGTAATAGAGGATGACTTGAGTTGTATAAAGTTATTGAAAGGAAGTGATGATAATAGACTATATAGTAGCATATTTTTTCCATCTAAACTGATTCCGTCTGCTTCACTTACTCTCATATCATGCTGATCAATTGTCAATGTTATTTTAGCATAAATAGATGTGTTTGTTATACGATATCGTTTTGTCGTACCTTCGCAAATAGTCGCTCGATAGTAGGAACATGGCATAGTCAATGTGCAATTAAGTTATCCGATACCGTTCATGAGATTTGTGTCTGGAACTGGATCCATTATGCCCGAATTTAAATAAGGTTTTAGAAGTATGTACACAGGAGTATGATATCAATCAGTTAATTGAAGAATTTCTTCATCATAATAATGTTTCTTCCTTGGGTTATTTGGATCTTTGATAATTAACGTATTCCAGAGACCATCATCGTACTGTACTGAAAAATGTGAATGATACCAGTAGGTACCTGACTGATTATTTGTAGAAAATGTGCATACATATGATTGAGTCAGTAGTATTGAAGATTGAGTGACACTTGTAACACTATCCATATGCAATGTATTTCATTGTAGTAGAACATGCCAATGAATTATAGTTGGCTCGTGTGATTCATTGATCACTGTAATGTTAATTATATTGCCTCGTTCAACAATAATACTTGGTGATAGAAATTGATTGTTAATACTTAGAATTGGTTTTTTATAGGTGTCAGTTGATGCATTAAACTGTCGAATATGAAATTCAGCTGTGTATGTACGTGTTGTAACTATGAAAGAGGAAAAAAACATCTTCTGACAAGATATTAAATCGAAATGATGACTAATTCCATTGTTTTTTTTACTTTTCAAATGTTTATCGAACATGTGAAGCCATTCAATTCTCTCTTTCTACTCATTGAGAGACAAAGATACGAATCATTTCTAATCGTCCAACATCTGTGGAAAACTCATGCGGCATTGCATACGGATCACTGTAAGAAATCTTCCCTAGAGAAGTCTCAACTGTATTTAATACTTCAATTACAATCGCTGATTATGCATTTTCGAGAGACATACCTTGTTTATTATTCATATTCGTTTCTTTCTTCAACAAGTATGTACGTATGAGAGAGATAACAATCATTGCTGCAATAACATCAAATAAATTTTAGAATGTAACAGGCACTGATCAACAGTGCATAACTAGTTTATTAT